ATCAGCTCAGCATGTAGGTATCTGACTTTGAACTGGACCAAAACATTGATTGCAAATTTCAATCTATAAAATATCTGCCAGTTTTTCTAATTATACAAAGTCACATTTTGAGTATGTTACAAACACTGGCCAACAAAATAAAGGTGTTTTTTATGTTGAAAGAAATCGGGAAATGCGCTCACCTAATGAAGCTATAATTCTATTTCACATGTTAACTGATGTCGAGCCAGACACATTGTTTATTATTCATAAACTCTGACTTTGTTTCACATAATAGCCAAATTATTTTAATTTGTAGAAAAACAACTGGTGTGAATTTATAATCACTGTGCTTTCATGTAAATCCTTAAAATAAGAGTTCAATAATGAAGTAAGAAGAGGAATTACATTAAAAGGCTTTGAAGATATAATTACTTCAAATTAAATAGGTCTGGAGTGTTTTTAACTATCTTAATATAATATGTACTAAGTCCACATTAACACTTCAGTGCTGTAGTTGAACAGGGATGATTAGAAGTTGACCACTGCACATATCGTCGCTCTCAGTGTCAATGATCATGTGGTCGACAACAGTCATTCTGTGGTTATTGCAGAATTGTGTTCAATTCAGAACAGTTTGAGATCAAACTCACATGTGTAAGGTTGCTGGTTTAAACTTGTATAACAGTAGAGAACATCTGGCTTAGTGAAAGGTAAGCAGTCCTTATTTCAATTAAGTAAAATGATCTTTGAGCAAAGTACTACTCACCATCTTGGGTAAGGCAGCCATGTAATAGCCAGCAGGATAAAGTTTCATAATTGGCAAATAAAGAAATGGAATTAGAGACCCAGAGCTTCTCATCACACCAACCTGAGCAACCAGGCAAGGAGCCTGAGAGCCTTAATACTTTAAAAACTTCCTTAATTGCAATGAGAGGACTTGTTTGAATAATGGGATATCAGTGTATACTTAACACTTCTAATAAAAGTCACATGACAACAGCCTGGATTATGAAAAGACTGATATCATGAGGCAAAACACTCTTTGCCTGAAAAACAGTTGAAATGAATTGTAACACAAAGTGCTAAATTTAGCAGAGACTGGGCACAGACGACACCGTTCACACTACAAAGCATGATGCTAGTACAGCCAGGCTGCGAGGAGCCAAATCATTTGGCAGATAAAGGCAAATTATTAGAATTATCCTGCCTCACTGTGACAAACATTTTACAGTGGCACCATCATTTATGTTTATGTTGTATGCTGATAATTTATTTATGTTCAGACATGTTCAACTTTCAGCTGAAGCAACACTGGTGACTTCTATCAAACCATGCTTTAGAATGAGGGTTATTAATCCTAAATAAAGATGGCACTAAATGCACCAAATGCACAAAAATGCAACCGGTACATCCCACCCACTTATTGATGGCTATCAGGACGTGGAGAGAATTTAAACAAATAAGATTAAAAGTATGAGAAACAAATGACCAACCCTACCTTTAAGGCAGATAATGAATTCTGCTACTTATCAATCATTGTACTGTACGTCTTATTAGTCACACACACAACACACAAGCCTCCCCAAAAGTCTCATGTAGTTCTGCTCGGAAGAAATGGGCATACTGAAGAAATAATATTAAAAGTGATAGTTGCTGTTATTGTGAGGCCGCGATCACGCAGAGCTGCTCAGAGGGGGGAAAACAAAGCATCACAAAAACACACAGGCCTGTTACTCATGTGAAATATATGAGTTGTGCTTCTGGTTATTCCTCGTTTCCTCTTTGAAGTAAAGGTGTTTTGATTTATAAACTAGTGTTTCAAACTTAACTGAACTTCTTTCAGGGAACATAAAAAAGAACCGCGTGAGTTGAGTTGAGTTTTTTTTCCTGGAACTAAAATATTCGGGTGACCTGTTTTCTTTAAAATCAGTTACAGTGTTTGTGCGTGTGACAGGAGATTGTGTCAGGGCATGTTCAGGATATATTTTATTCAGCTAATTTAGGCTCCTGGCTGTAGAACTGGCTAACCCAGCAATATGTTCCACATGATATATCACTTTGTTCTACTTTACCTCATCATCATGAATATGTGTTCTCCTGAAATCTGAATAGTAAGTCATCCACATAGTTGCAAACTGTAAATTTTACATCTGTAAATCTTTCGTATGCAGGAGTTACTCTCTGCTTGTTGCGAGGCTTAAGAGGCAACAATGGGATTCAAACTGTGTCTCTGCACAAGGGCATAGAGGATTGACTTCAAAAGTGATGATCAGCCTTTGTCAATATACAGTGAGAATAAACGATGGACATTTGAACCTTTGACCCCGGGGGTGGGGGCTTCTGTATTTACTTAATATCTACTTTTTATACTTCTGAGGAAGATGGAGGAGTGCAGAAAGGTATACATAGGTCCTAATCAAGGCTTTCAGCTATAATGTATCACCACTGGAGCACCTTTAAGGGCAGAGAGGATGAGATGAAGTGGTTGGAGCTGCTGCATCTTCAGCGGCGCAGCCTGAATGAACTCAGAGACCTGTTCATTCATGACCTCGGTACATTTTAATCCCCAACGCTGCCACATGGCCTGTCCCCCTGAGCTCTATACTCAGATCTGAATGGGGGAGGGATGGCCTGCCATGTCCAGTGGTCCCACAGATTTAGCTGGCTACTTCCTGGATGCAAATGTTGGTCCCCCTTTCAGACACACCCTCACCACACCTTAAAGTACTTGCTTCTGAGAATTGAGGATCAAATGTAGATAGGCAAGTCTCTCAATTTCTGTGTTTCTTGAAGCCGTTTCACCTCTCATCCAAGAAGTCTCAGTTAGGCGCTGTTCTACGTGATCTCCCTCCGATAACCAGTGAAATTACAAGTGTTACAGTTTTTGACCTCCATTCACTGAGCCTCGTCTGAAACCTCGAGGAGGCCCACCTCCCACTTTGAAAACCTCTGGTCTGAGATGAAGCTAATTTCAAACCAGAGTACTGCCCACACAAACACTCAGTGAGCTGTGAGGCTGCATCTGTGTGTCATGGTGTGGACTGAGATGTTGTTTTCACAAACATATCTGTGTGTCCCGGTGGGGCCTGAAACTCAAGCAACGAGCATTAATTATTCACATCAGACGCAGTGTGTGTGACAAAACACATGCTGCCACTAAATATTTAACCTTAGCACTTGACCGCATCTTTCACTCAGAGGACTTTTTCTTTGGGATTGAAAACGAATGTCACTAAACCACCTTTAGATGTTAGACGAAAAATAAAGAAATTAAAATCCCTGTCTGTTTGATCATCCCGCCGTGATGGTGAACGGCGGTGGTAGTCGACAACTTAATCCTATTTCCTTTTGTAAGAGCGACGGCTCAGAACGGTATCACATTATTGTTAGATGAGAAGCAGCTTTGCCAGTTAAACCATCTTGCGTGATGTTCTCAGCTTCTTTTAGTCCCCGGAGACAGTCGGCACAGATGCAGAACAACTGTCTCCTGCAGGAACGCTCAGATAAGCACAAGTGGATTCTCTTAGATGTGCCTCTGTTCACCTGCGCTCGCGAAAAGCAACGTACAGATCAGTCATCATTGCGTTACAGAAGATCCAGGCTATGCAAGTTTTTAACTCACAAAAAAATATTTACCTTTTCCCCAGAGTAAACAGAATTTAGTTCCAACGCTTGTGTCTGTGCTTGTAATATTTGGAGGTCTGACAAAAATAATGTACGATGCCGTTCTAGTTATTCATCATTCTCCCCTTGGAGCTCTCATTTGTTTGTTTGTTTGTTTTTCCTGCGGAGTAAAAGTGCTGATTCTGGATATTGTGATGTGTATGATTCATGCGTGTTGTGGGCTAGAGGTTTTATTTTTCCCCTGATGGGTGCTCGGTGGCTTTTCTTTGAGGTGTGCACACTGGATGTGACACTGATAAAAAGACTCTGACAATTATCACTCTGTCAGTAATTAATTCACTGAAAACATACTTTCCATAAAACTCTGTGACATATGCACCATTTTAGTCATCAAAATAAGGAAGAATTCTGCTACAACTTAGAAAAGTTCTGTCCTGTCTTAACTACTGTGTGTTTGTCAAATAGTTCATGTTGTTTATATTCTAGGCTACATATAGTTCATTGTAACAGAACCTGAGGGAGTCACATATCTATGAAATACAGTATATTGTTAAGAATTCTGAGTTAATTTGGCATGCCTTAAAAGCTCAGGTAGCATGGGCAGTGAAATACCATATATCAAATAATGTCTTTTTTATAATTAGTTGGTGAATAAGAGTCCAAATACAGTAAATTGATATCCAATGATGTAAATAAAGTCAGTGGATTCCTCCGTCCACTGATTTTTCCCTTCTTTCCCTTTTTGTTTCCTGTCGGCACCAGATAATATCAAAAGTATAAGCAAACAAACATAACTGTGCTGTTAAATGATTGCCAATACTGAGATTTGCCATTGGTATATTTTATTACTGCGCTGCAAAAACACTCCTGTCCTTGTCCTTTAGTAGAAATTATTATTTTCCCAATAAATTCTCACACACGCACATGCGCACACACACATACTATGTGCACTATGTGCAGATATTTGTGCATTGTGTATCTAAGTTATTTCTTGTTATTATATATTATGTCATCATACTACAGCAATTAGAATTGTTTACACTGATGACATAAATATGAATCACATCATATCCTTTTACAATACTTTTCAATCTCTGCTTTAACTTACATTGACTGCTTAGCATTAAAGCGATTCACAGCTTTAGTGGCTCCAACATAGCTGTTCAATACCCTGCAGTACATGGCTGTCTGTTCTTGAAAGCCTCCATGTGAAGTTACCTTCACTGCACAATGTTAAAAATTACTGAATCATAATTTATTTGAACTAAATCAACAGAATCAGGATACCAAATGTTTTCTATTGTCAGGTAATAATCAGTATGTTTTCATATTGTCAGGTAATAATCAATATGTGAGACCCATCTCTAATGAAAAATCTTGTATGTGTTTTACAGGTAAATCAGAGAGGGCTTCATTTCTTGGCTTTGGGAGAGAAACTGGAGCATCTGGCTCCCAGGTGAGTTTCTTAGGTTTTAATGTTGTTCATGTTGCTCCAGTGGTTTTATCCTATATGGGCTATATACATGATATGAATTCATATAACAGCCTTCACTTCTAGCTCTTCTAAACTGTCTCATCCAAGTGGAATTTCATTTCATCTGTAAATTTTGAGTAAGCAGTAAAAAAAACTCCAGCGAGATACTTGCAAACCCACCGCTCCACATTAATCTTTTGTTCCTGGTAGCTAGAAGGAAAAACATTAATTTATCTTTGATATTTGATTCTTGGCTATGAAAGATTTATTTCAGCTTTGACCAACTTAAAAATGTGGCAACAATTACACCCTGTCCTCTTCCATTGGTTTTATAAAGGGAATGCTTACTATTATTTAATCTAGACTGGATTAATGTAAATCCCTCTTTTCCTGTCTAAATAAAAGCTCCCGTCACTGTAATTACTACAAACACAGCAGTCAGGCTTTAACCTGGAACAAGAGATGAGACTCTTTAACTTCAGTGTGACTTTTTTCTTTGTTTTACTGCTAATTTTTAATTTGCCTGGTCAAAGAACACAAACAGGAAGACTTTCCATATAAAAACACCAAAGAATTCACATTGGGAACATCAATAAAACATAAAAAAATAAATAAAAACAACCATTGCGTTACACAACGCATTTTATATTACACTACTGATTCATATCCTGCTTCTCTGCCCGATATATAATGGTGCAGTCAGTGTGTGTCAATTGGTTAAGCCTAATAATTGAATAAGGCAATATGCCATATGGCAAGTTGCCATGTGTAGCCAACCACTGCACATCATGACACACAAATAACCCAACGTGTCATGTGATTTCTGAGGCCAAGAGAAGAGCATCGCTATGGTTATAACTCAGATGTTCTCATTCCCTCAGTTTTGCCTGTCAGTGAATCCTTCACTTGAGCTGCAGATGAATTTGTTTCAGATGTGAATTTCTGGATCTTTGTGTCACAAACTCTCTGACTAAACTCTGCATATTATTAGATGTTAAGATGTTTAACTAGTTTTAACAATAAAACCATATTTAATCTGCAAGATTTTGATTTTCTGTTTCTTGCATGACAGACTTCAGAATAATGTGCAACAGCCCTCATTAATTCATTACTGGCTAATAAAACTAATGGTTACTAAAACGAATAACATGTTCAGAGACAGTCAGTTATTCCAATTTTCACAACACCATGGTGGTTTCTGTCTGAGCAGCTAATATAAAAAAACAGATTGTGCTGCTGCAGGGGTTCAGTATCATTGAGCAACCATTTTTATTAGATTACATTTGTAATAGTCTAATAAATTGACTCTGAACCAGAGAAATAAGTTAAAACATTTTTTATAGTGTATTTAGATTTTATTTGTACACTCACCGAGCACTTATTCAAGAATAATTGTTCACAAAACAGCCTCATTTCTTCGTGGTGTGGATTCCACAAGGTTCTGGTCCATGTTGACATGATTGTATCACACATCCCTACAGTTTCTGCCAGTCTCTCATTCTACTTCATCCCAGAGGTGTGGTATTGGATTCAGTTTGAGAGACAAATTTTGCTTTGGGAGCATTATCTTGTTGGAAGTAGCCATTACAAGAAAGTAACATGTGGCCAAAAACGAATGCATATGGTCAGCAAGTCCGCCCCTCATAGTTACGCCACCACCAGCCTAGACTGTTGATTCAAAGTAGGTTGAATCCAAACTCTTAGCCCACCATCTGCAGCCTCAGCAGAAATCCAGGTTCACCAGACCAGGCTACATTTTTCTAGTCATAAACTGTCCGGGGTTCTGAGCCTGTGTCCACTGCAGCTTCAGACTTCTATTTTTGGTTGACAGACGTAGAATCTGACACGGTCATCTTCCGTTGTAGCTCATCTGCCTCAAGGTTCAATGTGTTGTGCTTTCTGCTCATCACAGTTAAAAATAGTGGTTAGAAGTCACTTTAGTTTCTCTGTTTGGTCATTTTCCTCTGAGCTCTCTCATCAGAAAGTTTCCATCTGCTCACTGACAGCTCACTGGTCGCTTTTTCCTTTTCAACAAAAAATACTCAAACCAGCCTGTCTGACCTCAACAATGACGTCATATCAAAGTCGATCTGAAGTTTGACCTGAACGTCGACTGAAGCTCAGACATCTACTGTAAAGGGCTCAGCGGTCACTGTGTCAATCCTGAGCTTGTAAAAGGGCACGTGAGGGGAGTTTTTGAGACAACTACTACACAATGCTCACGTGATCCCTGCTCTGTGGGTCTGCAGCCGATTACTCCAATTAGACCAAGCTCTTAAAGGACATGGTAAACTTTCAAAGGTTGGCAAAGGTGACGCAGAATTAACAGGAGTTGCATGTTACATATCACATTTGTATATTTGTTATTTACAGAAATTACACTGCTTGTATGCTTTTCACGCTTTTGCAATATTCAGGAAACAAATGTTGTAACGTATGAGTTTAATATTGCCAGCTGGCGATAAAGTTATTTTTTACCACAGTCAAGTGAATAAAAAACAAGATTATTTATTTTTTGGTTTAAAGCAGCTGTGTGTGTGTTTTCTCTTTCAGTCTTCTCTAAGGTCGGACGTTGGGTTGGCAAGTCCTAGTTCGGTTGCTCCATCTGGGAAGTCAGCTGCTCCGTTCTACTCCTTCACTGGGGCCAATCCCAGAAGACGTTCTCTACAAGATCCACCACCAGTTGGTCAGTTCCTTTTCAATGAAAGTCGTTAAATGTTTTAAAAATAATTGTCTAGTTTAAAAAAAATCTGTAGTGTCTCTAGGAATGATTGTGAAGAAAAATAAATCTTATGTAATATAGTTCTTATTTTGCTCCTTAACCCATTGCAAAATTTTGGATTTGGTCTTTAATACAGTCAGTACCTAACACCATTTTTTTAACATAATTCATAAAGGCAATTTGAAACAAAAAGAAAAATGTAGAAGGATAAGAAATAATAATAATTAGAAAAAATAAAAGGATGCTGCTCCAAACTAAACCATATTTAGATTACATGAGGAAATCTGCTAAATCAGTAGGTAATTGCAGATGTTATTTTCTACTGGGCTGGGAAGCAAAAAAATTATCCTTGTGTGCTTTATAGACAGGATAAAAATCACTGACCAGAGCCTAGACCAGCCCACCTGCCCTAGAGAAAGAAATCCAGTCTGAATGGGACCTAAGACTCCAAAAAGAATGAAAATTGTAATCAAAAAGACACTCTAAGTATCCTCCTGCCAGCTTGTGTATCATCCTCTTACATTATCTTCAGAGCTGAGCTCTTAAAATGAATTGAAGTGGAATGAAATAAGACTAAGAGTTGAAATGTAACATCTTTTAAAAAGCAAACACTTCTGGTAAGTTTGCAGTTGTTTGTGTATGGTAGTCATAATGTATTCACCAACATTTTTTATTTTTTTTGGTGAAGCCGTGTTGTGGGGGAAACAGAATTAGGGCTTGTTTACGGCACATTGACAGTCGCTTCCTTTTCGCCTGTGAATGAGTGGATGTGCTTTCATCTCTCCACAGATCCTCTACAAACAAAAAAGGTTCGCAAGGTCCCTCCTGGCCTGCCTTCATCTGTGAGTGGAAGATCATCTACCTCTCATATAAATAGATTTCACAGTGAGCTTACTTAAGCAGACACACACACACATCTTTGCTCCTTACATGCACCCCCCCTCCTGCACAAAGATGGCTCTTGACATCACTAACCACTCCTCTTGGATGGGACTTCAGTTGTGTTCTTTTTCTTGGGTCTTTGAAAAGTGACACCACTGATGCTTGTTGATTTAAATTCTTTCATGTTTGTTGTAAACATGCTTGTAGTTTTATGGTTGTATGTAACAGTGTCTGTGAGGTACATCATAGTGTACAGTTCTCTAGCTGTGTGTGTGTGTGTGTGTGTGTGTACACGTGCACACGTGCATGAATAAGCGTGTGCGTGCGTGCACATGTGTACCTCGAGGTGATTGATTTTCAGTGCTGCGCTGTCACAGTCTAGCCTCCTCTCAGCCTCTCCTGGGAGAAAGAGAGGCTGTCAGAGCGGATCCCCAGCTCTGCTCTTTTGATGTTTAATTAGTCATTACGTAGCCGAACAGGAGGACAGACAGAGATTAATAGCACAGAATATCTGAAATTTCAATTGGTAATGATCCCGGTGGAGCAGAAACCATTAGGATGCAGGGAAGTGTGGAGCTCAGCTTGCATTTGCTTAGACAGTGGGTGTTGGAGTTCATTAATATGCATAAATCACTAAGTCAGATGTTCATTGTTAAAACCATGGCGCATTGGCAAAGGTTTTATGAAGCCCTGGCTTAAATTCCTCAAACTAGTACAAGACAATCATTTTTTTTTTCTTTTTTTAATGAAAAGCAACTGGTTTACCAAAACCCCACTCTTTTGTTTCCTTAAACAATGAAAAGGTTTTTCTGTCTCTTTTTTGTGGCGAGGGAGTCTGAGAATGGATTTGCCTTCTAGAGCTTTGATAATCGTCACCTCTGCTGCTGTTTCTGTGAAATCAAATATGGAACAGGCCGGGGAACATAAAAGGCTGGCATGTGTTTTGTTTCTGGATTTGTATTTGAAAAGAAGTTTGTCAGAGCATGAGGGAGACAAGCAGTCCCTGGCAGCAGCAGCAGGAACGTGCGCTGCCTTCCTCTTAAGTAAGTGATATATTTGAGGTCTTGTCAGGCGGAGGGAGGGAGGCAAGGAATGGCTGCTTCGCAGGTTACATCTCTTTGTTGTGTAAATGGACGCTGGGCTTTTATTTGTCAGTACTTAACACATGGGCGCAGGTGCGGTTCTGTGACTCATAAGAGTACAATCAAGCGCTACAATGCTAGATGGGGAAAAACAGTGACAGAGCATGGGATAAAATACAGCTTCTCCTTGTCACTCAGTACTTCTCAGAAGATAAAGCCTGCAGCTTGGGGGAATTATCCCAGTTAGTCTTTGATCCCATTTGAAAGAATGAAGATGGCAGTGTTGAATAAAGGGCTGTAGGTCTCTTCTAACCTGCTGACAGAGGAAGGGAAACATTAAGCCAGTTTTTTGATAGGTGCTATAAGTCGAAAATGTTGAGTGGGAGTTTGTCTGGCAGCTTTTAGGAGGTGTGAGGATAGTGGTATTAGGCTAATGGGAGGCATAGGTGAGTTACACTGGCCTGAACTATTGAATGGTGTTAAGGGCTACTCAAAATGTGTGTTGTGACAGTTGTAGAGGGGATCACTGTATGTCCGAGGATGGTTATCAGTCCAGACCCATGTTTGTGTTACTTGTAGCGAGGGTGGTGTTGAGATGTGTCGGGACGAAGGCGCACCTGGAGCCAGTGCTACTTCGCCGGAGGCAGCTGTGTGAAGAGCCTGTAGCGTACCTGTAAAGCATGAATGCAGCTGCAGATGCCACTGAAAGCTTTTGCTTGTGTAAGCAAGCACGAGAGCCCCACCAGAGACCTGAATAGCTGCTTGATTTGGAAAAAAAAACCTCAACACAGTGCTTCCTATCATTATGTCTACTGCTGGGAATTTTCTTATTTATTTATTTCATTTTCAAATCCCCTTTTTCCTGCAGCTTGTATTCTCCACGCTCAGTCTAAAAATAAATGTAGGAGTTTTAAATCAGATGGGCGCTGCAAGTTGCAGGTCCAATGATGTGATGTGATGTGTGTGTACACGACATGATGGAGCTGAATCAAAATATTTACGGGAGCACATCCTCTGTGCATTTAGGTCTTGACACTGCAGTGCACCAGGATGTGAAGGCTATCTAGACGGGCCAGCTGGTGATTGCAAACATTTAAATGTTTATAAGGCTTTTTCATCTCATATACAGACGCCCTCCTCCCTCAGCCACACACATACTCTCCTCTGTGGTCTGCTGGATGTGTGCTCGCAGACATGGGATACTGCAGATGTGGTTGTAATTGTGTGATGCATTTACCTCATAAATCCTATGTAGCATTATTGTAAGGAGTGTTTCAGGCTTGCCACATGCAGGGTAGAACATTGAAATTCTTTAAGACATTCATGCATGAAATAATTATTTTCCTTACAATGCAAACCTTGGCTACAATTGGCTGCCTGCATCATTTGACTGTATGAACTGTGAAGGACAGAGCATGTTGTCATTGGTCAGACAGGATGAGAAGCTGAGGGATGCTGATGGGCAGCTGTGTGGGCACCTGTTCGACGGGAGGACTGAATATAGAGGGAGGCGGTGGTGGTGGTGGTGGGAGGTTGCTGCTCCTGGTGGAAAGTTGAGTCTTGGAGGATATTTATGGCAAGCTGCAAGGGCATTGTGTGTGTGTGTGTGTGTG